AGCAGTACTAAACCAGTTTTATTAAAAGACATTTAGATAGGACTGGTCTTCCTTTAAAAAAAAAATTATTAAAGATTAACATTGTGGTAGTAAAAATGAATGCAAACTAAAAGAAGAATAGAGAGAAAGAGTAAAAAGTGCAAAAGGTAAGGAAAAAAATATATAGAGAATGACTGCTCTTCCTGAACATTGAAGCTACACCATTCCCTACCCTATATTTATCTCTGTAGCAACCCTGTAGTTTAGCTAGGGAAATCATCGTTCAAAGTCGCCCAGTGACCCCAATATTCCTGGGTCCCAATCCAGGATTCCAAAGTCCAGGGTGGGCACACCGCAGCCCTAGTAGCGTCTGTAGCCCTTGACAGCTTGCATACGGGTTTGCCCCTAATTTCAAATCCCTCTCTAAGAGATTAGTTCAGAGTTTTAGCAAGAGCTGCCTGTTCCTTCTCTACAGCCTGCTGCTTGGCAAAGAGGGAAGAGGGTTAGAAAATGGGGTGGGGGGGAGGATGGGCAGAGAGACGATGGGTTTCTTCATCCGTTTTTGCATCTGGCCACATCTGTTGCTTGCTTCAGCCTGCCTGCCGTGGCAGCCTAAAGTTGCCTGAACTGGGAAGAGCATCTGCCACTCGCCCCCCATACCTTCCATTGCATCAAGGGCACATTCTCTGGCCTTCTCCCAATTGCTGTATAAATGCCAGTCTGATGGGTCCCAGAGCCACCACTGAGGAGCTGCTGCAGTCACATCGCTGAGCATCGTTCTGACAATCTTCTTAGAGCATGTGTTTAAAACAGTTTGGTGAAGCAGTTCATCTTGGCAAAATGAAGCAGGTGGGCCCTGGATGAGAAGGGCAGCAAGTTTTCAATTTGCCACCTGACTTGTCCTCCCTCTCAAACTCGCTGTTTTATTTTATTTAATAATACAGGTAGTCCTCACTTAACTATGGTAATTGGGACCAGAATTTCTGTCGCTGAGCAATGCAACGTCAGGTGACTGCACCGCTTAGCAGCAGCAGTTCCAGCAGTCCCAGTTACCGTTGTTAAGCAAGGACCACGTGGGTGGTTAAGCGAGGATTGCGACTTCCAACTTCCTGCCAGTTTCCCCATTAACTTTGCTTGTGGGAAACTGGCCGGGAATGTCTCAAATTACAATCATGTGACCACAGGGGTGCTGCAATGGCTGAAACTTTGAGGACCAGTTATAACTACCATTCGTTCAGCTCGAACAGTCACTGAACAAGTGGTTGTTAAACAAGGACCACCTGTACAGGTAGTTCTCATTTAGCGACTGCCTCATTTGGTGACCATTTGCAGTTATGACAGTGATGAAAAAGCAACTTTACAACCAGTCCTTGCATTTACAACCTTCACAGGTCTGTAAAGCAAAGGAAAGCTGAAGTAAGAACAGTCGCAATTTCACTTAGCGACCTCTTCACTTAACAGCTGAGTTGCTGGTCCCAATTATGGTCGCTAAACAAGGGCTACCTGCAGAGCCAGCCTATCTATCCTCTCAGGTTATCTGCGTCCCTCAAAGAGTTGCTCATCTCTGCTCTATTTTCTATACCATCTTGTCTCTCCTGGTTTAAGCATGTAGTGTAGCTAACACCAACAAGAGGCTGCGCTCAGTAGCTGCCACAGTCCTGGCTTTCTGAATTTCTCCTCACAATGCTAATCATCCACCCGCTTCACAAATAACCAGCAATTAGTGCTTCTCTGACTCTTGCAGAACCACATTCCATATGTGGCAGGGAATGCAGCATGAGGGGGAATTGCATTGCATTCCCACAAAGAGCAAATAATAAGCTTTTGAGGGAAGGGAAGGCTTGGGACTGTGACTAGAAATAAGTAACAAAAACTTATTCATGATGTTTAGGAAGCGATCATCTGGAAAATCTCATAACGGACAGAGAAAGGAAAAGAATCTTATAGGCAGAGTGGTCAGCACAGGATTCTCTCCCAAGCCCCCCAAGTCTCTGGTCTGTTTACATATGAATGGGATTGCCCCAAGTTTGTTTATGCCTTGTGCCTGTACCAAAAGCCAAGCTGGCATCAACCCAGCCTCCCTTCTTCCTCATCCAAGAATGTTCTCTACCAGCAGTGGAACCCTGCTTCAGCACTGTTGAAGGAGAGGGTTATCCACCAGGCTTCAGGATTGTGAGACAGGCTGGTGTAACTGTTTTCCAGCAGAGTGGAATGGCTGGAGGTCAGGAGAAATGGTTAAAGGGCTGCTGCTGTTCCCCCAACATACCCTGTCCGAAATGCAGGGGTAGATTGCCTGCAGCCCACATGTGATTTCCAATCCACTTTTGCTGGATGACCTCCCCTCCCCCATGAAATTATGCAGCCAAATTCTGTTGGCAATCCACTGAGAAACACTGGTGTGGTTTCCTGCCATATTTTTGCAGGAAAACTGCAAGTCTGATGTACAAATCTTCATTTAAGCTTAACACCTCAAAAACATTCTGGAAACCCTCTTGGGAATGAAAAGGAAGTTCCATCCCTGTCAACTTCATAAATGTTGCTTCCCACTGTGGCACTTGGCTGCTAAAAAAAATCATTTCCTTGAAGAAATGTAACCTCTAGCGGCTGAAAGTTTACCCATTCTTACAGTATCTTAATTGTATGGCTGGTCCTTCTGGAATTCTGTATTTCTTTACTTCTCATGTTCCCTCTGTTACAGAGTAAAAAGGAATTGGATGGAAATAAAGCCTGCCCACCATCAATCAAGATTGCTAGATGCTTGATGCTAGATTGCTTAGTTATTTTAGTAGTTCTTGATTTTCTGTCTCCTTTATTTAATGGGCATTTAGCTCTGCACCATAACATTTTAAGCAATCTTTGCAACCTGGGCAACTTCCAGATGTGCGGACGTCAACTAGAATTCTCAGCAGTGGCCTTGCCAGCCAGGGAATTCTAGATTTTGAAGTCTATACATCTGAAAGTTGCCCAGGTCCAGAAACATTGCTGTAGGTCCTACACCCTTTCTGTGAGAACCAAGGGGTCTTGTTCATAGATTTCATGCCTGCTCTGAACTCCAGGATAATGTCTGCTGGTTCCTGTTCCCAGTGTTCCTGGATGCCTCTTCTGCACATAGATTCTTGGGCCGTAAGATTCTTTATAACCACTGGGATTTTGAGCTGATTGTGCCAGACAACTTGGAGCGTGAGTGCATAGAAGAAGTTTGCAACTATGAAGAAGCTCGGGAAGTCTTTGAAGACAACTTAAAAACAGCTGAGTATGGGGAATGGGAAAGGCCTTGGATTGGGTTAGGGTGGCCACTTACATGTCATAAAAAGAGGACATGTCCCCCAAAACAGGTCTGCATTTCCCTATCTATCTAACCATCTCATCCTCTGCCATCCATTTCTCCTTTTGCCTTCAATCTTTCCCAGCATCAGGTCCTTTTCCAAAC